CTGATGATATGTGGCATTAAGTTTTCTTACTCTCGATGTGATATCACTTTGCACTTTAGTGAGCATTCCACTAGAATCTGAAGGCCGGCTGAGCGAGCTCAAACAACTGGGTGTATGTCCCACCCACTGAAACCAACCTTTTGTCTTGTAAGGGCAATCTCAGCTGGGTGCAATCAGTCTTAATGCACAACACCTATATGTAATTAGACTCATACTATTTCAGTGGAACCTACCACTGAAGGGTCAGCGTAAGCGTTTGCTCCTTATGTGAAGACCAACTTGGGTAAAGACCAGCGAGTCCACTGAGCAAGGCCACCTACAAGAGTAGCTTTTCCTTTCCTAAGCACACCTACTCACGTAAAGCTGCTGGCTACAACTACACTCAGGACATGTGCTTACATCTGTCTACTTCTCTGTTGGGTCATGGAACTGCCAGTCAACAAAGCTGACTTCATCACTACTTATGCTAACACATTATCTCTTGGGCTACTGGTGCACACTGAGACCTGGATCAAACAAGAATACACCGCTACCCCCCCCGTGCTGTCCACCAATTACTCTTTCACCCACACCCCCCGACTTCCCGGGAGGTTTCCAAAAAATGGAAATTCACACAGCTGCTACCCCCGAACCAATCTGCCTCCTTCAAATATCATGCTGTCTTGGCTTTATACCGTCTACTAAGACAAGTGGGTAACTTGGATGAGCTAGACACACTGCTGTCTTCAATCCCAAAGCATGACTGTCCGTTACTTGTCCTCGGTGACATGAACATTCACTTAGACAAATCAAACTCAGCAGACTTCCTATGATTCCTCTGATTCAGTCCTTTGATCTAAAACAGGTTCTCAGCCCCCCGACACACATAGCATGGCAAGGTGCTTGACCTCGTTCTTGTCTGAAACTGTGCCACCGAGTGCCTAACAGTCACACCGTTACACATGTCAGACCACTATTTAATTGAGCTCACGGTATGCCTACAGGAAAAGCCCATTGTTCAAGCACCGTTTGTCTCACACCGCCGCAACCTCCAGAACCTGTCTCCCACTCACTTTGATTCAGTGGTAGCGCAAAAGGCTCAACACCAAGGCTAACATGTAGCAGTCCTACTACATCTTTTCCTCTACCCTTCCAGGTCAATGGCACTTCACTCTCCTCATTTACTCCTCTCACGGAGAGCGAGGTATCAGAACTCCTGACCCATAGCCATCCCACTACATGCCCACTGGAACCAATTCCTATGAATCTCCTCCAAGCCATATCTCCTACCTTCCCGACTTTCAAAAGGGCTCGGGTTACACCCTTGCCCACTTGACCCCAACTCAAGTTGAGAACTATCAGCCAGTTTCTCTTCTACCATTTTTATCCAAAACTATCGAACGGGCAGTATTCAAACAGTATTCAAATAACCTCCTAGATCCATATCTGTCTGGTTTTAAGAATGCCCACTCTACTGAATCTGCTCTTTTGTCTGTCACAGAAGCCCAATGGTTAGCTAAAGCTGCAGCCCAATCCTCAGTTCTTATCCTGCTTGACCTATCAGCTGCCTTTGACACAGTCAATCACAGGGTCCTGCTATCTGCACTCTCAGCAATGGGCATCTCGAGTAAAGCACTCGCAGTGGTTTGAATCCTACCTCTCGGGGCGTTCCTATAATGTTTTGTGTCAAGGACAATTATCCTCCTCCCACTGCCTCTCCACAGGGGTGCCCCAAGGCTCAGTGCTAGGGCCTCTTCTCTTCTCAGATTACACTCCCCCTCTGGTTGATCATTCGCCCGCATGGCCTCTCTTACCACTGCTATGCAGACGATACGCAACTCTACCTATCCTTCCCGCCAGACGACGGTGTCATGATTGATGACCAGCTGTCCTTTTCAGACCATGTTGCTGCTGTCTCTCGGTCGTGCCACTTTGCTCTACACAACATCAAAAAAATCAGGCCCTACCTCAGTATGCCACCCAGCTTCTGGTACAGGCCATGGTTATCTCTCGCCTCAACTATTGCAATGCCCTCCTAGCAGGTCTTCCAGCTCATGCGGTGAAACCCCTACAGAAGATTCAGAACACAGCAGCACATCTGTTTTTTGATGTGGCCCAAAAGGACTCATGTCACTCCATTACTGAGTGACCTCCACTGGCTCCCTATGGCCTCCAGAATCAGATTCAAGTCACTAATGCTTTCATACAGAGTGACTCATGGATCTGCACCCATCTACCTAAGCGCCATAATACAAACTTACGTTCCTTCTCAGCCACTACGCTCCTCCAACGAACGCCGCCTGGCTCTGCCGTCCCTTCACACAAAGCAATCCCAGTTCCGGCTGTTCTCATCTGTGACACCACGATGGTGGAACGAGCTACCACACGCCATCAGAGGAGGGGCGTCCCTCTCTAACTTCAAGAAGTGCCTGAAAACTCGTCTCTTCCGAGAACACTTCCTCTTATAACACCTCTAACTCCTAACATGCACTTCCTGTTCTCTTCTTCTTCTGTCCCCTACAATATCTTGTATTGATTGCACTTGTTAACTCTTACTTCCTTCCCTAGGTATTTACCCCATTGATGTGATATGTGCTATGAGCTCTTACTAGTATTTATTGCTGCTCTTACTAGTATGTATTGTCAGTTGTTGATCTCGTGCTGTATTTGATGCTTTGTTGATGCTTGTATGTTGTTTCATCTCAAATGTAAGTTGCTTTGGATAAAAATGTCAAATGTAAATTGTGTGTGTATGTATGCATATATATACACTTTTTATCATTTCTGTATGTACTTATGCATCATAATTTAATGTATTTTTCTTGCAGTACTCGTTGAAGCAGGTTAGTACTAATTAGTTATAAACACAACAGATGAAAATGAGCTATTTATTTTTTCATTTTTCTACTCTGGTACATTTACAATGAAGTCTAACTATGGTGTTGATTGATGTGCATTGTCCTTTGTAAATTAAGAAGAAAAAAAACAAGATAAGAAGTCAGAAGAATTACATTTGCATTCACCACCCTGACCTCCCTACTGTTACTTTCCATCTTGTTACATACAGTAAACACTATCTTCTATTGCCCAATATGAATTTAATTTCTAGGGTTACTTTACTGAGAGTGCTGTATGCTGTACATATTGTAAAAACCTCAGGAAGTTTTTGAATTGTAATTTAAGCCCAGAGGAACTATTTCACAGTGAGAAAGAAAAGGGGTTTCTGTAACAGGCCTGTAGCCACTTTCTACCTGAAACATTTTCACTTCTCAGCATTCTTAAAGCTCGGCTGCCTTTGTCTTAACTGACAGAAGTATGAAACCTTTCTGCTAGTTTTAACATTTTCAATCTTTACTTTGACTCGGAGGTCAGTTTTAGAAGCTTTTGATGTTTTAACAGTGAGTAGCAAAAACATTACATTAGTGGAAACATTTGAGCCGTATGACTTCAGAGGAGACTGAGGAATCCTGTCTACCAGAAATACAGCAATAACATTTTCCAGTACGTTTGTCTGCATGGAAATGCTGAAATGTGTCAACAGCAAATATCTTTCAGGGGAAAACAGCACAACAATATCATGAATTATTCTAGCAAAGCAACCTGACAAAGAGTGGATGTGGCTCACCTCTCCTCAGGGTGTTTGGTTTCACATCGAAGAGAAAACTGAAAACACACTGGAATCAAAAGATTTAGCCAATGGAGTGAAATAATTCCACTTGTTCCCAGTTCAGCTTCACTTGTTTTAGTTTTCCAGAGATGTTAGTATCTACTAATAACAGCACAGCAGGCCGCGGCAACATTAAAACAATAATCAAGATATATGACAAGAACACTCACTGTCTGATTGTTTTGTTGGTTTGAAGAAAATCAGATTTCAGAACTCAATCATGAAAAGTTTAACCTGAAGAGTTGCTGACAGTTCAGCTCAGTAGAAAATAAATCAGCAGATTTCAATTGTGGGTGTTTGGGAGTTTGTCAGTAAATGTGTCTCGTGTCCAGGTTGATGGTGTCAGCTGCTGACTCTCCTCCGTCCATCCTGTCCCTGCTGAACCACTGACACAGAACTTTAACACCTTCTGTCTGCCAATGGCTGCAGAGACAAAGTCCAACACGTCATCACGTTGTCAGTGTGATGGATTGAAAATCCCAAAGAGCAGCAGCATCACACAGCAAAAATAAGAAACTAAGTTTTGAAAACTTTGTGATTCACATCCTAAGACCAGAGTTAAAAAGTAATTCACGAGAAATTCAACAGTGTGGAGCCTGTCAGCTATAGATTAAACCTGTTGATAATTTTATCTCTGAAGATTTCCAATTTGTTTTCCCCATATGAATAATTCAAGCACTAAAATTCCCTTAATGTATTAGTGGCTGTAGGACCTGGAGTTATAGTGTTATTGTTGCTATGGTCAGTTCCTTGGATCACCACACATCTTTCTGTGTGGTTCATGCCAGATTTGCCAAAAAGATTTCTTTCCATTTTTAATTATGTACAAACTATATAAACATGAGACATCTGGATTTAGTTGGACAGAAGTTTGATTTGTATTTTTGATACACTGTTCTGTGTTTAACACATTTATATACATTTCTAGAGCTGTGACGATGCGGCCTATGCCCAGCTAAGAAGTGTGGACACGTTACGCTTACTTGGCCAGTTCAAACCCCTGATATGGCAACATGGCATTCTTCATGTATTATTTGCAACTTTGCCTTTATTTGATAGTGACAATCAATATAAAGATGGGATGAGTTGCTGACCTTCCTCTCCACCATCTCCCTATAGGGAGAGTTCATATGACAAGGCCTAAGTCAGGGACATCCTGAGCCGCTACCCAAAGGCCTTGGGGGTCAAGAAATCTCATAAATAAATAAATCTCAAATCTCATAATCTTGACTATGTTAGTTAGTTCCTAATCATCACCATTTTTCTTTTTGTGATTCCTAACTTCTCAAGAACTTCTTTCTTGTCTTGGCATGAATGGGCTTTTATTGAGAAGATCCTTCAAATGAAATATTTTTTAAGTGAGGGGAACCGTTTGGACAAAGTGACTACAGGTCAGCATCTTCAGGATTTGTTGTCGTATCTCTGTGGTTCTGATGCCGTAGATGATCGGGTTAAAACAGCTGGGAAAGAACAAGTACATGATGCTGAAGAAAACCCGAACGGCTGCAGGGAGACCGTTTCTGATCCGATACGACAGGAAAGCGACAAGTATGATGGTCAGGCTGACAGTCATGACCACGATGTGGGTGACGCAGGTGTGGAGAGCTTTGACGCCCGACCTGCCGGCCCTCAGCACAGAGCTGAATATAATTATGTACGAGGAAGTGATAATGATGAAGTCAGCTACCGGGATAAGGAACACGGTCAGTAACCCCACCAGGTTGTTGACGGCGGTGCTTCCACAGGCCAGCTCCACCAAGGCCATGTGCTCACAGAAACAGTGGTTTATAACATTTTTAGAGCAGAATGGTAATGATCCCGCCAGACTCACTACCAGTGTGATCATGAGGAAATTTCTGATCAGAAGCGGGATCACAAACCTGAGGAATCTTGGTAACACCATGCATTTGTGGTAGTAAAGTGGCGTGCAGATGGCAAAGTAGCGGTCCAGCGCCATCCACAGCAGCAGAGTAGACTGACAAGTTCCTAACAGATGAACAAAAAACATTTGAGCCAGGCAGCCAATCAGAGAGCTTCCTCTCCAGTCAAACAAGAAATTCAGCAACATGTTTGGGACGAAGAACAGCGGGAGGCTCAGGTCCACACCTGCCATGGCAGCGATGAGGATGTACATCGGTGAGTGGAGGCTTTTCTGCGTAATGATGACGTACAGCAGCAGGGAGTTGGCAAATAACGACACAACGAACATGAAGAAGAAAGGGATGAAGAGGACGGGCCTCAGCGCTCCGAGTTCATTGAAGCCGTCGAAGATAAAATATTTGTGCGAGGAGACGTTCTCCCTCAGTGGCTCCATCCTCCCCTCTTCTTTGAGTTGGTTTACCTGAAACAGAAGACACTTTAAACCAAACACACATACAGATAATATATACTTCATGGACCAGACAGCTATATTTATTAGTTACTTTGTAGATTAAGATTTTACAATATTTGCAAATTGTACCTTTAAGTAGTCTAATGTTGTGAGTCTTGTTAAATGTCCTTTGTTGTTGTGGGTGTGCTTGGTGTTCGGATTTGTAACTGTGCTTTGTCAATATGCTGCTATTTTGGCCAGAGGTTTTAAATCTCAATGAGATCATCTGGTTAAATAAAGGTTAAATATTTTTATTTTATGTATTATATTACAAAGCTATGTAAAGTTAAAAAAACAAAGTATAAAACTATAATAAATATACATACATAATACATAAAATATTGCATGTTGCAACAATCCAACAATAAATACAGTATTAAGAAAGACATCAACCAACTCAATAATAATAATAATATTCAAAGTAAAATAAATATGACACTTTGCACAAAAAGTACATTTGGAATACCTTTGATCATTTAAATTAAATTTAAAAACAATTAAATTTTAAAAAAAAATCAATAAAAGTATATAAGTAAGTATAAGTATATTAAGTATAAGTATATAAATTAAGACAGGGACCAACACTGGACAATGGCTAAATTACTCATTTATAATTATTCTTTCTTGCTTTTTGGTGCTTTTAGAGGTACATCAGTATTATTAAACAGCAGGAACTTGTGACACACATTTTCAGTTTTTTATCTGCTGACACATTTTCCACAGTTTTTTTTTAGTTGGTTGAGAGATTTTTTTACAGTGTAATCATGTGTTTTGAATGTTGTTGGTAGAGCCACTCTTTTCTATACGTTTTGACCAGTGGTTGTCCCTGTTTTAACCACAAAAACTACACTCTGTATCAGAAAAAGCAAAACATCACAAGCTGTAGAGAAACTACTTTTCTTCAATAAGTCACAGAACAAACCCACATCATCAGAGACGGAGAGAAACAGGTCTGCAGGCAGTTTTCAGATTCAACCCCCACCTGAATTTCCAAAGACCTTTCACCATATATGTGGCTTAGCTACCTTTATCTGGACTGACAGACTAATATTAGCAGGTAACATTTTAGTGGTCAGAGGTCACCTTTAGTGGATTTAGTACCTGTAATTATGACATTTGTAAAGAACCACCAAAACATTTCTATTAGTAGGAAAAATACGAGCAACAAGAAAACAACAGTCACTGAAGAGAGGAGACCAGAAATATCGCAATAACATTAACCAGTGAGTTTATCTGCTGGCTGAATGGAAACATTTGAAGTGTCTCAGTGGCAAATATCTGTCAGGGGAAAAACAAGACATCAGCACCGTGAATTACTCTCAGCTCTCCTCAGGGTGTTCGGTTTCACGTTCAAGAGAAAACTGAAAACACTCACAGACAAACACACACAAACTAATTCAAATACTTCGCCAAATATTTTCTATAAATCACAGTACCCAAAACTGACACAGTCAAGCTACATGACAATGACTCTAGAAAATGTCTGAAAACCCCCCGAAGTGAAATAATATCCCCCCCCACTGCCTGCTCTTTTCACTGGTCTGAAGAAAATCAGATTTCAGAACTCAAACATTAAAAGTTAAACCTGAAGAGCTGCTGACGATTCAGCTCAGCAGATAAGAAATCAGAAGCCTTTACTTGTTGTCGCTGTTTGGGAGTTCGTCAGTAAACGTGTCTGCGGGTTGATGGTGCTGCTGAGTTTCCTCCATCCATCCTTTCATCCACTTGTCCCTGCTGAAAGCTGACTTTAACACCTTCTGCCCAACTCTGCCATTGGCTGCAGAGACAACGTCCTCTTCGTGTTGTCAGTGACGGACCGAAACCCCAGAGAGCTGCAACATCACTGAGCCGAAGTAATAATGAGTTTGGAAAACTTCTGTTTGAATTTTTAACACTGCATACAAATATTATTCATTAATGTGTGCAATCTGCAAACTGAATAAATGTTTCCTGAAAACATGGGCTTCAACAGAATGACATTGACAAGACCCTTTAACACACTGGGTACCCGTTTAGCATATTTTGTCAACACTACAAACATTTTATGTCAGGTCAGTGTCAGGTGATGCAGTATAAAGAGTGACAGTTTGCATAGGTTTGTGGTTAGGTAAAATAAACAATGGAATTGTGTGAAAGTCTAGCAGGATATAGCAGATTTATTGTTGTTAAGTTAACTGCATGTCCAGAATTGGCGCTAAACGGGTTCCCAATATGTAAAAAAGTGATGCTTAGGGGTCTTATCAAGCATCCTTATGTGAGTAAGGACTTTAACATCAAAATTTTACTTTTAAAATCATGTCAGAATTTGTAAGAAGTCACATGTTAATTTAACTTACAAAGTCAAAATTATTACTTTGTAAGTGAAAATTATGAGATGGGTCTGCTCAGGTTCTCGTTCCAGTAGGTCAAGTCCAGAAAAGGAGGCATAAAGGAGGCATCTGAACTCATGCCTTTTAACATGAAGGAGCAGTAGTTCTCTTCCAAGTTTCCTTCACATGTTGGCGCTCCTTAACCAATCTCTAAGGTTGAGCCTGGTCACCTTGTGTAGGAAATGTGTTTTGGACGTTACCCAAAACTCATTAGGTGAAGGATGGAATGTACCGATATACTCAGAGCTTCCCCTTCAGACTCAGCTGCTTCTTTACCTCTGGACAAGAACTCCTTCACTCAGTGCCAATCTGTTTTCAGAGTATCAGGGCCACAATCTGTTTTGACTCCTTAAAATTTATGGTAATGCTACAATTGAAGCACACCCTCCGTTTCTGTTTTATATATGCTGACGTCCGTCCCTGTCTTCAAGTTCACCTTTACTGTTCCCATCCTCCGCATAACATTGAAGAGGTAAGTCAACTCAAGTTTTATTTATAAAGCACATTTAACGACAACCAGAGTTGACCAAAGTGCTGAACCAAGTTATACAAATGAAAATAAAAAATAACAACCGGGTAAGTCACCTAAGACAGCCCAAAAATACCCAGAGCCTTCAGCATCTTAGCATCTCATCCACACTTGGCTCTTTGCAATTGCAGCTACCTGACTGATCTTTGGTAAGAAGGTGGGCAAGCCTTCCCCTTCCTCCTCCAAGTCTTCGCCCTCCGTTGGTCTGGTTCCCCTAAAGTGTTCCTTCCACCACCCCACAATATCCCCAGTCAAGTTCAGAAGTCTGGAGAACATTTCTTGTGAATTTCAGACAGATGCCTCCAAAATTGAGGCTTTAAACATTGCCCACTGTGGTTCCACATCCCCAGCCTTCCCTCGGATGCTGGAAAGATGACATGTTTAGGTTTACCAGGTCTGTCTGACAGCCTTCCCCACCACCTGATCCAACTCACCACAAGGTGATGATCCGTTGACAGCTCTGCTCCTCTCTTCAGTTGAGACATACAGCTGCAGATCTGATGATGATTGATTTTTGATCTAAGCTGTTCTGGTACAAATTATGCTCGAACAGACCAACTACCGTACGCTCAGACACTGTTTGTTATGGACATTTCGATCCTATCACAGAGTAAGTATCCCCACCCCTTCCTGGTGCCACTCATCCTGGGCAGCTCCTGAAAAGGATATACACTTTACTTAGTGAAAGCCTTTTAATTTTTCTTGTTACTTATTATTTTTTTGCCTTTATTTCTGATCGGACAGGTGGAAAAACAAATGAGGGCGAGAGAGAGGGGGCGTCATGCAGCAAAGGCCTCAGCCTTGTACCGTTATTACTAACTTCTAAGCTACTTTTTTGTTTTCTTTATGGAAACGGGCTAACGTACGATAAGGACATTTTACAGATTTTTAATTGCTTCTTAAGAATCGGGCACAGTCTGGTCACAGCGACAGCACGTCAGTGTCTTCACAATGTGCTGTCGGATCTCGGTGGTTCTGATGCCGTAGATGATCGGGTTGAAACAGCTCGGAAACAGCAGGTACATGGTGCTGAAGAAAACCCGACTGGCAGAAGGAAGACCATTTCTGATCCGATATGACAGAAAAGCAACAAGCGCGATGGTCAGGCTGACAGTGATGACCATGATGTGGGTGATGCAGGTGTGGAGAGCTTTCACCCCCGCCCTGCCGGACTTGAGCACAGAGCTGAATATCACCACATAAGAGGCAGCAATAAAGATGAAGTCAGCCACGGGGATGAGTAACACAGTCAGCAGCCCCACCAGGTTGTTGATGGCTGTACTTCCACAGGCCAGCTCCACCAAGGCCATGTGCTCACAGAAGCAGTGGTTTATTAAATTTACAGCACAGAACGACAACGATCCGGCCAGACTCACAAACAGTGTGATCATGAGGGCATTTCTTACCACAAGCGGGATTATAAAGTTGAAAAATTTCGGTAACGCCATGCGTTCACGGTAATAAAGTGGCGTGCAGATGGCGAAGTAGCGGTCCAGTGCCATCCATACAAGCAATGTGGACTGAAAAGCTCCAACGAAGTGAATGAAGTGCATCTGAGCCAGGCAGCCAATCAGAGAGATTCCCCTCCAGTCAAACAAGAAATTCAGCAGCATGTTTGGGACGAAGAACAGCGGGAGGCTCAGGTCCACACCTGCCATGGCAGCGATGAGGATGTACATCGGTGAGTGGAGGCTTCTCTGCGTAATGATGACGTACAGCAGCAGGGAGTTGGCAAATAACGACACAACGAACATGAAGAAGAAAGGGATGAAGAGGACGGGCCTCAGCGCTCCGAGTTCGTTGAAGCCGTTGAGGATGAAGTGTTTGTGCGAGGAGACGTTCTCCATCTTCCCCTCACCACAAAACCTCCTTGTTCAGGGATTTAGTTCGATCAGCCTGAAAACAGAGAGAAACCTAATGATTTGAAGGTATTTCCCTAAAACTAAATCTAATTTACTAAATCAACTTATTTTATGGAGCTTGAAATCCATCAGTTTCTTCAGAGCAGTGCTTGAAGTGGGCCAGTTACTCTTTGGCGTACCTGG